AGCTTTTGAGAAGCAGCCTTCGCAATTCCAGTGACATGATTGTGCCAAGAGATATTGGTGTCCATTTTAACCCCATTTTAACCTGATATTATTATATTCGGTTCAGAGACATTTATTTTCTTGGAGAAAACCGATGCCTGGATTTTTGTGGTATTGAATTGAACCTGGTTACTTATACCCCAATTTGAAATCACTTTTAGATACTCATTAGGATATGCAATCTCCTGCTGCTGGTGAAGATCTGCTCATGGCATCCATATGAAATAACGAGACAAGTGTGCTGTCGTCAGCAGAGCAATATATTGGATTCTTGGTTTTTTCCAATAATAAGTAATTGATAACGAATAAAAATGAGGATGGAGACAATATAGATCCCTGGGGAACACCAATATTCGAGAGATATCCATCGACGGCCACTTGCAGGAAATGCTCTTTCAGGAAGCTGGGGAGCCATACACAAAAATGATCTGACAAGCCGTAGCATCAAAGTTTGGCCAGCAAACCCGCATGCCACACACGGCCAAATGCTTTAAAAATATCAAGCGCAACAGCTCTTGATTCTCCATCTTTCTTGATTGCGTTATTCCACATAAGGATACGATAGAAGATGGCCTGTTGAACTTTGTTCCGTTTTTGTGAACTTTTCAGTAAAAATTACACAAAATGTTACTTGAATGCGTCATATACTCTCATCAAGTGTCGGCCAATTTCATTACATAACACAAATGTAATATTTTTGGGAATTCACGAATATTTTCATTGTATAATCATGTGAATGTTAGCGCTTTCTCTCACGATCATATATTCCAGTGGAATCGAGTAGAAAAGAGTTACGTAACCCCGCTGTTGCTCGACCCCACGAATGAATGATATGATTTGATGGAAAGAGGGTGCAAAGATTGAAACTCGAATAACGAGGAAACATTCCGAGGGAACCTCCAGTGAAAATGATGTGAATGGGGTTATATAAATAATCGTTATAAAGCAAGGGAAAATCTTTTTGCATAATAGAATTTGCTACTTGGGATTTCTTGATGAGAACTGTTGAGTGGAAAAGAATAAATTGATCAATGTTTCATTGGAGAGAATTGAAAATGGGAATGAACTCTACGAAACATTTGACTATCTGAAAATATTGATGTTTGGATGGGCGTAACATGAAGGCTTCTGCTTGGAAATCGATTTGAAGCTTGTTAGAGGATGCTTTCCAACGGTATTTTCATTTGAAAGCATTTTTTCTCGAAACAAAAAACTAAAACACCACAAGAAATACAATCCAATATTATGTACAAATTGAACAATGGAAGCTGTCACAAATGCTGTGTTGGTCAAACCAGACGGTATCTGAAAACATGAGTTTCAGAACACATGACTCTAAGAAACTAAGTATGAAAAATCCCACAGCTCTCGTTGAACATGAAAAAGAATATGGACACATTTTTAATTTTGATCGTCCAACTATTTTAGATGTTCAACCATACTTACCAAAAATACTTTTGAGCGAAATGATACATGAAGAGATGTCGATGGCCTTAATACCGCATATTTTAATTTGATACGTGAAATACCTGAATAATTTACACTTTTTTCATTCTTTTCCTTTCTGCCATTGATTAATAAACATACACCACCTTATCAGAATCAGAGATAAAGTCATTCGTTTGTTTCATGTGGTTTTGTGTTGGTGTTGTCTCGAAAATTTGTTGTTTGCAATGTGTTTTTTATTTTTATTTTTCAAATACGTATCTGATATGTCTGATGATTTTTAAAATAGTATTATCATCAACACGAAAAAACTACTTTTCGGTGAGTAATTTAAATGAAAACTCATTATTTCTTGTGAAATTGAAATAAGTTTTGTGGAAGGTATATTTATGAAAATTCATTGTTACAGAGGCCTGAAGAAGAATTTAATTAAATTCGAAACGTCGGCAAGAATACAATTGTTTTTGTTTAAAAAAAAATGATCCTGTTACCCAACCAACCCCCTTTTTCAGAAAAATTATTGGATCACTAAACTAGTTAATTGTTAATGATATTTGAATTTACGATTGAATCGATTTCAAATAATCATATGGTTTTCGATGTGAGGAAAAGAGGCACATCGTAATTCTGTCGTTTTACTATATGCACAAACAAATGTAGTAATCCTATCATTTTTTCACTGAGCTGTCATCAAGAAAACTGTTTCTCACAGACCGAGCAACTATCTAGGATCCTCAGGGAAACGGTTCAATATTTTTCAAGCCTAAAGTATCAGAAAATATTGTTCACTTTTATATATCTTATAAACACCGGTAGTGTTTATAAGACCTATAGTGTCAAATATAAATAGTTCGATAAGAGACCTAGGAGTACGTCCTAACAAGTTGTTAAAAAATATTACCAATTTCGTTCTACCTCACAGCATTAAAAATTCATTGAACTTAGCGGAACATAAAAGTAACCAAAACCACGCCACAAAATTCAATTTCAGTTTCATTCGATGTAAAAGTATGTTCTTCAATATACCGTACAACGATGTCCAACAGGCCTTTTTATGGGTCACTGTCATTTGAACCATCATATGCACAGAATCGGAGTGTCCGAAGTCAGTGTATGTCGCATCTGTTTAGGAAATGATGATGAGGAATATTTCATCATCCTTTTTTTGTATCAAGAAGGAGTAGTAGAAAGCCAAAAACTTTCTTTCCCAAAAATTAATCACTCCTAAAAATAGAACCCCTTCAATTCAAATAAGATTTCTCTTGACTGGGATTAAATCAAATAGGTGAATGAATGTCATTACGATGTCATCGATGACATAAGCAGATCAAGCTTATTCCGTGACATTAAAAATCGTAATTCATGGATGAATTGTGTGTATTTTCTTTAATGTTGTCCAATTTGGTACTGAAGGCAAGTGTCTTAAGGCGAAACATCGATGTATACCAGAGAGGATGACAGTGTTCCATGTTAGTGCAATTTGTTACCATTCATTTAAAGTAGAGCTCATGTGAATGATATCTGATTTTTATTCCACAACGAATGTTTGAAATACAAACTGAGTAGAGAAAAGTATCTTCTGTGTAATTCAGTGTTCATATAGAGGTATTTGTTTCGAAAGAATTTTTTTTCTTTCGTGGAATTCAATGTTTATATGAAAGTAGCTGTTTCAGGAGGACTTTCTTTCAGTTTGTGTCTGAAAGTTACTTCTTTGCATGATCTACACATCCATGTATAGAGATACTTATTTTCAAATTGATCACTTTCTTCCTTTATTTTGGAAAATTCCCTCATCCATTTTTTGTATCAAGATGGAGTAGTCAAAAAAAGCCAAAAACTTCCTTTCCCATCATTCAAAAAGTTATATCATGCTGGGGAAAACATTTCGTATGATCGTGAAATGGAATAGAAATGTCATTTGATTGTACCTGAAAACTGCACCATATATGCACCATATATGGGGCATTCAAATTGAAACGAGTCACTTTGAATAAATCGTTTATTATTGAAGCTGTAAGAAGAAACATGTCAACCAGAAACATGTCAACCTCAGTTTCCAGGGGGCACATTTCTTTATAAAAATCAACCCCTTGTCAGCCACTCTCCCCATAACAACGCACATATCAAAACATTCAAATGGGAATAATAGACGGGTGATATCTAGTTGAAGTTGGGATGATTCTGCAACGTTACTTGTGGCTCGAAGAATTAATTATATTGTAGACCCAGAAAATGAGACCAATGACCAAAGCAGTCAATGCCGCTGATATTTCCCTTCAAAAATAGACGGGTGATATCTTATTTGGAGAGTCTTTCAATTCTGTATCCAACATTAGACATTACAGCGATAGCCAATGCCGAAAAAATTAAATACTTTCTGATGTTTGTATCCAATTTCGAACTGAAAAGTGGAACTGAACAGAAAAGTCAACTTCATCAAATTTTCCATCTGGGTACCATCAACTCGCATAAACGAACTTTTGTTTCTTCCCTCACATTTTGAAAAATATCAGGTGTCAGTTGCCTGAATATGGTGATTTATTTCCCTTATATATTTGGCTGCTCCTTGCAGACTTTTATTTTTCATTTCCATTGGAAAAATTCAATGGAGACAAATCAGGTGGTCTGGATGGTTATTCTGTAATACCTCTTCTCACTATACATCGACTCGAAATGATATTATCGAAGCACTGTCCCACTGATAGTACGCAAAGAAAGAGCCCTCATCTTGTTGCAAAAGGATCTGATTAGATGGCACTGGTGATGCTTAGCGTAACTTTCAGCAGCAAATTGAAAAATCTTCTACTATTCACTTTTCCAGAAACAATGATTCTATGATATGTTTAAACAAAATTTCGACCCAAACACTCAGTTTTTGGAAATATGGCGTGCCATATTGGAATCTGAATTCCCTATCCTGACAGAAGGTTCATTGATTCAAAAACTATGTAGTGTACAACAAAGTTGAACCACGGTTGGCACGTTCCAAAAGGATCTAACAAAATACAATTCTTCTGTCGAAATCATTTTTATCAATTTCAAGAATCATTTTCATTTCGTAAGGGTGGAATCTGTCCTAATGAATAATACTGAAATCGTTTATATGACACATTTCTGATGCTTGAACAACTTAGCTGAATGCGGAGAATTTTATATCAAGAATGTGTCTACAACTTCCACTTGACTGTTTTCGTTGTTGACCGCTAGTCAACAGCAGTCATGCTGATTATTAGAAACGTTACTAGTTTTCATGGACGTCAATAACGATAGTTCTTTCTCGAAATATGAGCAATGGTTTCTGCAAATTTTCTATTGGTTTTTACTACAGAAACCCACCATTTCGATCCACTCTTGGAGTGTAAGAACTATCTTTTACGGAAACCAAACATGATGATACTTGATACTTGATAAGGATGTGAAATTATTGTTTTCAATGATATTATTTCAATATTCCAAAACTATTCATAATTTCTCTATAACGGTTTGAAGTTGTAGTTATAAAACGATATACCAACCTGGCTCTGAATCTGTATGTACATCTGATGTTTTTTGGATAGCTGGATGGAAACCTCGGTGAGTAGAATTTTCCATAGAGCGGTGAATGTTCAGAACTGAGGAACTGGTAATCACACATGGTACTGGGTAGCTTCAATCCATCTGTTCGAAATTTTTCTGTAAAAAAGACTTTCATGACTTTTTATTGAAAATTTTATTGTTTCACATTTTGAATTTTAGCACTCAAAGAATATGAAATTTGCTCTCACTTTCCATTACAGCTCAGTGATCCAGATGAAATAACTTTCACTGTATTGAAAAATGTAGCAGTGAAGAGCCCTTTGAGTTTCATGAAATTTTTTTAGAAAAAAAAAGTTTTTTCTTTATGTTTAAAGATAACTGTACTCATAAAAACCTAGATTAGTTGTATCATTGAGTATCTCAGCCCATTTGCTCCACTACCGATGACCATAACTGGTAGGAGAGTTTGACAATTGATGTTATAGCTCACCAAGAGGTTTCATTCCATGACCTCACAATTCTCTCAAAGATTGTTTATTTTTATGGTTGACTGAGGGTACTCATCGAAGAAACTGGGTTGATTGATTAAAAGAAAGCACTCGAGGCCGGTATTTGCTCAAATGTTTCCATTGATATTACTCTAGTTCATGTTGTTCAGCGAATGTGTGAATTTTTTGTTGCTTTTGTCGTTAAGTATGAGTTTGGAAATATATGGGACTGCACTATCAGTTTTTTCAACTGTAAACTGGAGTTTCAGAAATAAGGCACTTGAGATCAGTTTTTATGAGAATGCTATCTATGACAGAAGTACAGGTAGTTGTAATTATAGTTAGCTAGTAAGTAAGCGGTAAGCATGCAGCTCACTCCTCATTCCTCTGGTTCATCCCTCACCACATTCTCTGTCAATTTTTCATAAACCGGACCCACTAGTCCTTCTTCCCATTCTCCCCCCCAAATTATATTCTCATTTTTCTGTCACCACACCTCCTATCCATTGCGCCACCCAGTCCTGTTGCCATCCACAGTTCTCTTGATTACATGATCTGCCGTTTCAGGTTTCATGTATCCACAGAAGCATGGCACTTCCGGTCCCAGGTTGAACCTGGCCAGATATCCCAAAAAGGTGCCATGCTCCGTTAGTAGCTATACTGCTTTCTTCGACAGATTCAGTGCGACTCTCCCATTCCCGTTGCTAATCATTAATGATACATTTTTTTATTCTCTTTCGCTCCTCATTCACACTGTCAATTATCCTCGCCTCCAAGTCACATTCTCTCTATCCAGCCCTTCAGACACTTCCTCGTGAGTCCACGTTGTTGACTTCGTGCCCCTCATGTCATTCAATGTAGGTTCGCGGTCCAGTTTCTCTCATTTCCTCAATCATTCGTTGAATTATGCGAACCTCCTACCCTTCACTCTCCCCATTTCTATACTTTCTACAGCTCTCATACATACGCTATCAAACATACTCCACATGCCTAACACTATCTCGATTGCGATCAACTCCGCCTCATCCACACTGCTGTGTCTAGTGACCCCTATTCCCTGTAACTCATTCGACCTTCTCTCTTTCAGCCTATAATCTTCCTTCTGTCCTCTGTTCGTACCCGGCGTCTACGTGCACCTTGGTCATTTCTTTGATCCGATTCCTCCAGCAATACTCCTTACATCCCCTCCTCTCACTCTGTCATCAATCTTTCTTGTGCCAGTCATGCTCTATTCCCAGTGTCTTGCTCATACTTCCCCGTGTAGCGGGGCTATACCGGAAATCTCGCTAAGTGCAATCGTCGGCGTCTCATCCTCTTTATTACCTCCTTGTGGTGGTCTTACGTTCAGTCTGAACTCTAACTCACTCCCATTCATGCTTATGACCGATAGTCTTCCATATCTTTTGGCTGGTATGTAAATACACTACGTTTTCCTGCCACTGTACCCCAGCCAATCATATAGAACAGCTGCAAATATCTTCATACTCGCCTGTTGAGCTTCAGTAAACAACAATTGATATAATTTTGAGTTCGTAACTACAAATTTCTCCAGAGGATGTGCTCGCAGATTGGGGCTGATGGATTTGAGATTCAGGTTTTCACGAGCATAAATCAATAAATCTCCATGCTTATGTTTCCTATGACAAAAATGAAAGATATGATTGTAACCAAAATAACAAACTTTTACGGGTTTATCAATTTCAGCTTGATCATTCAACTTGATCTTTCTTTTATCAATTTCATCTTAGAGAGGTTCAGATTCACCGAATAGAGTTGAGAAATAGTAATTATTTAATCAAACAGTCCGTACTCGAATAACTGGAGTATGGAATTTAAATGCAATACTTGAAAGTCAATTAGCAATTCGATGGTCTCACACACAATTCAATGAAGACAATACAGTGACAATTGTCAATACTGAAAACGAGTAGTGAAAATTTCAAAAAACGTGCAAAATTTTCGTCAGTGTCAGTCAGTCATCATATCTATAGCAGAAAATTGAATTACATAAACCGGGATCAGGTTCTCAAAGCCTAGGAACCGTGTTATACAAAAACAACAAGTTGATTTTTCTTCATAATTAGATGAATAACAGGAACGCAGTGAAATCCTAAGATTGTTGAAGTCATAAAATGTGATAAATAAATGAGGATCAACTTTCCGGAATTCTATACTTTCTATATACTTTTTTGACACCAGTTAAAGTCTCATAATGTAGTATTACTCAAATACATCATGTATTTCAATCAAGTATTGGCCAATTCCACCTACAATTATTTTAAACTTATTTTCCAGTTTTTGAGAAATGATGTTCTGATGTACGGTAACATGACCGATACTGTGATAGATAAAAATGATGATAAATGTTTTTATTGACGTACTAAAAATCAAAATATTACAAATTCTTCATTATAGCTCTACAAAAAGTAACGCCAGAAGGCAGAATTCAACTCCTATCCATAAAAAGGAGTTCACCCAAAAATGTTATATGGAGACGGAGTAGAATTAAGAAGATGGTAACTTCTGAAGATGTTTTTTTATATGATATAATAAATTATTCAAAACCCTAATGTTTCATTCAAATTCAATTTCCGGCTGGATGAGGAACTCTGAAGGAATTAAGTTCTCTGCTGATTTAACTGATGAATAATTCAGTATCTTCTTTGAAAAATATACTATCGGAATGGTTTAACTAAAATATTTATACCGGATGGCAATCTCATGGCAAACTATCTTCAAACGCAAAAACAAATGTTGCAGAGTAATCGCTATAATTTTCATTGCAGTAGTAGTTGTATCACATTGGATTTAAATACAGAATTCCAAAAAAGTATTTTTTTTGTGATTTGAGATATTCAATTCATCATTGCAGTGAAAACTACAATAGTACCTCCAAAGAAGAGTTATTTTCCACTGGTAATCAGCTGCCTGTTGATTTGTAATCAATGATACCTACTTTTTCATATCAAAGTTGTTGTTTAGTTCGAGTACAGGAAGTTGCCAGCAAAGTTTCAAAAAAAATGCTCCACAAATTAAGTCATTGGTGTTGGTTTTATTGCGTTCGATCCAGGGACGTAGCGAAAAGAAAAACCAGTGGGGGGAGGGAATCTAAATTTTCCCAACCCCCCCCGGCAAAATTTCCCAACTTTTGAAACAATGAAAGCCAAGGAATTAGTTACCACTATAATATATTAATTTTCTTACTTAGCTATCCAAAGATTGGCTGAGTGTTTATGCCGGTTAGGGTATGCACAAACAAAAATAAATTTTGGTAATTATAAAAATTATAATGGGAATTATTCTACTTTGGACCAAGGTCCTTGGTCTTCCACCATATCTACCATGTATAGGAATATTTAATACAAATGAAAGGAAACAACACTCAAATAATATTGTGCTTATTGTTTTCTACTATTATTTTTTCTATCTTCACGCCCCGAAATTTCCAACTTTTTGCTGTTTATTCGACTTGGAAAAGTTAGAAATTTTGTAAAATTGTCACTTCAAAATTTGTGGACTGTTCAACTGTTCTCTTACTTGGGAGAAATACTTTTTTGTAGTTTTCAAACAACTCTGAATTTCAAAGTATGGGATCTCCAAGCTATGCATATTGGGAAATCCCAACCTTGTCCTGGTCCTTTTTCTATACTTATTACTTCTCCCTTTCTTCTCTCTAATTTTTTTAAAATTTTCATTAATTTTTTTACTATTATTTTTTTCTATCTTCACTTCCCAACGTTTTTCCAAGTCGAAAAAGCAGGGGGGGAGGCTCCCCCCATCCCCCCATCCATGGCGACGGCCCTGGTTCGATCATATTTTTTGACGCGGTCTGAACTTCAATTTTTTTGAAAATTTTGTTGCCTTCTATGTTCATAATTGGAAATATTTTTGGATTACAGTGTTGTTTTTAAAATTTCTGCATAGTTTGAAAAAATGAAATTGAATCGAATTGGTGAGCTTTTCTCTCAAGGTCTTCATAGTCAATTTCACTTATTACAAATTTTTTTGGCATAAACAGAATGCTATACATAATTTTTCTCACAAGCTATTCCAGATATTTCTAGACATTCTGAAACTTACATCTCTTTACGAAAATACCGCCTTATTTCGCTGAACCAAAGCATCACCAAAATATTTGAAACACTAATGCACAGTAGATAGATCTCATTTATCAGTTGATTCAAAATTTTGACAGAAAAACAATATGGTTTTCGAGAAAATAATTCTCCACCCGATGCAACTGCCAAACTAATAGAACAGATAAGTAATGGAATGGAGAAAAAAAAATCATCAATCTGTATTTTTGTTGATTTGGCAAAAGCAAACGATACCGTTGACCATCCAAAACTGATGAGTGTGCCTGAAAAGATTATGGGAACAGAAAACAAATTGATTCAGAGCTATATAGAAGACAGTGCGTCAATGGGTCTAAGAGTAATTATCAAACAATAAGAAACGGTGTTCCTCATGGAACTGTTTTAGGGCAAATCCTTCTCAAAATTTATCTGAATGATCTTTTTGAATGATTGTGCGGGGATTTTGTTAGTTGTGCAGACGATATTCCATCTTTTGTCAAGTTTTTGATTGGAAAACTCTGAAAATATCATCATGACGAATTTTCGAAACGTTGTAAATTTTTTCAACCTCAGACTATTGACGATACATTGT